TTTTTTTTTTTTTTTTAACTAATTCTTCTCCAATAGAACTATAAAATTCCTCTCAATACTTTTTCACTTGAACAAACTTATCAGGAAATCTTTTCAATCCATTCTTTTCTGGAAACATTTTGCATGGAACATTCATCCTCGTGCTCCAAATTGGACTAGTTGTCCTGGGACTTCCCTTTGGTATTTCCCAGGAATTTCTATGTTGGATCACATTTTCAGAATCCTGAGTCTTCCTTCTTCATAATTTATGCCCTTATTTTTGTGAAGCATATCTCCAGCAGCTTTCTGAGACAGGCTTGATAGGAGATAATTTTTTTACTTGAAAATATCCTTATTCTAGCTTCACATTTGATTGAGAGTTTGGCTTAGAAGAGAAGTATTGAGTAGAAATCATTTTCCTCGTGAGTCTGAAGATTGCTTCAGGTCTTTTAACTTCTAATGAAGAAAGTTGGTAAGTCCAATGCCATTTTGATTCTGGATATTTACAAGTGACTAGTCTTTTCTATCTAGAAGCTTTCAGAATCTTCTTTTTTCCTCAGTCAGTGTGCTTAAGCCTTCACAGTGATATGCCTTGGGCACTCATTTTGCTGGGCCCTTAATGGGCTATTTCAATCTACAGTTTTCACATCATCAGTATCGGGAAAATTTTTTATATTATGTCTTTGATAGTCTCCTCCTTTCTGTTTTCTCTGTTTTATCTTTCTGGAATTCCCATTATTTGGATGTTGGGCTTCCTGGATTTATGTGCCAATTAAAAAATTTTTTCCTCCTGTTTTCCATTATCTTTTTACTTACTTTCTGGGATATTTCCTCAACTTTATCCTCTAACTCTTTTAATTTCCAAGAGTTCTCTCTTTTTTTTTAATAACCTACAGTTCTTATTTTATGGAGAGAGTGTCATCTTTTACCACATTGAGGATATTAAGGCTTTTTTAAAGTTTTTTCAACTTCTTGCTCTATCTTTAATTTCTCTGGGTTTGTTTTTTCCTTTTCTCTTTAATGTTGGTGGCATTCCTGAAATGCCCATCACATTTAAGAGTCAGGTATTCAAAAGCTGATATGATGTGTGATGGTAGCATATATGTGGGACCCAGCCACTTAGTTGGGGGCTCCCAAATTTAAGTGTTTTTAGGTCTTTTTCCAGGGACTATATTTCAGAAAATCTGCAAATCTCCTGCTGGGAAGTATAAATCTGGCTGCCAGCATTCTGGGATCCAGGTAGAGATTAGGAAATGGATTTCTCAGAATTCATATGAGACTTGCATTCATTCCCTGTTTGGAGTATTTTGACTTATCCTGACCCTTTGCTGTGCCTGGTTCAATCTTCAGAAAATAAATCATCTTGTCCCAGAGTAAGAAAAAAACAGTTTCCTGACTATGCCCTATTTTCATCCTATGCCTCGCTCCTGCCTTCTGAAAATCTTGGCTCCTTCATTTCTGAGTCTTTTGATGTTCTATGTTAATCATCTCTAATGCTGTAGTCTTTTTGATGTGAATCATATCTCTCTAATGCTATTATTTTTAAAAAAGGGAAAAAGCTAAAGCCAAAGCCTTAGCTCTCATTTGTGTCTTTCTAGCCATTTGGATTACAGCTTCTTCTGTTCTGCTAAGTCAATAACTTCTCATCTATTTGCTTTCTATCCTACAAACTTTTTTTGGAGGGGGGGTAATCTTTTGTCCTCTCTTATCTCCTCTTACTCTCTTTACCCCTTTATAAGTTTATAGCTTTTTAAAAAATAATAGCTTTAATGAGATATAATTCATACACCATAAAATTCACCTAAAGTATATAATTCAATGGTGTTTAATATATTCAGAGTTATGCAACCATCACAAATCAATTTTAGAACATTTTATCACCCCCAAAAAAGAAACCCCATACCCATTAATAGTCATTCCATTTCCTCCCCAATCCCCCACCAGCCACTATTCTATTTTCTGTCTCTGGACAGAAATAGAATTGCCTATTCTGGACACTTGATATAAATGGTATTATACAAAGGTAGTTTTTTTGTGACTGGCTTCTTTCACTTAATATGTGTTTTCAAAGTTCATCCATGTTGTAGCATGCATCAGTACTTCATTCCTTTCTGTTGTCAAATAATAGTCCATTGTATGGATGGATCACAGTTTGTTTATACATTCATCAGTTGATGAACATTTGTGTCATTTTCATTTTTTAGCTATTATGAGTAATGTTGCTATAAACATTCATGTTCAAATTTTTGTGGACATATGCTTTCATTTCTCTTGGATATATACCTAGGAGTGGAACTGCTGGGTTATATAGTATCTCTATGTTTAACCTTTTGAGGAACCACAAGATGGGTTAGCCAAAGCAACAGCACAATTTTACAGTCCCACCAGCAGCGTATGAAGGTTCCAATTTCTCCACCTCCTCACCAACACTTATTATCTGTTTTTCTGATTACAGCTATCTTAGAAGGTATGAAATGGTGTCTCATTTAAGTTTTAATTTGCATTTTCCTGATGGCTAATAATGTTGAACATCTTTTTACATGCTTATTGGCCACCTGTACATCATCTTTGGAGAAATGTCTATTCAGATTCTTTGCCCATTTTTTAGTTGGATTGTCTTTTTACTATTGAGTTGTAAGAATTCTTTATATATTCTAGATGCAAGACCTTTATCAGATATATGATTTCCAAATATATTTGTGAGTTATTTTTTTACTTTCTTGATGGTGTCTTTTACATCATTAAAACATTAATGTTTTTAATTTTGATAAAGTCCAGTTTATCTACTGTTTCTTTTGTTGCTTGTGGTTTAGCTGTAATATCCAAGAAACCATTGCTTAACTGAAAGGATGAAAGTCACAAGATTTATGCCTATGTGTTCTTCTAAGAGTTTTATACTTTTAGCTCTTATATGTAGGTCTATGGTCCATTTTGAGTTAAATTTGTGTATGATATGAATATATTCCTTTGCTGTCCTTTTGGTGGAGTAATATGAATGTGGTCAGCCCATCTGAAATGCATATAATCAAGTCTTATAAATATTTCTCAAACACTGGAAAAGAGGTAATCTTTGTGTGCCTTTTGTTCAGAATAGAACCCATCAGGATAAGTCTCAAGTTTTTCTTCTGTTTCATTAAAATAATTTTCTAAGAATTAATTTTACTTTGCTCTATTGTGGTTTTCATTTATTTGTACTTCCTACTTATCTCAGTATGTTCTTGCTTCCTAAATATTACATCTTATTGAGAACAGAAAACAGCTGTTTTCATTTATTTATTTACTTTTCTGTATTCTGAAGTAAACTTACTTCAGGGAACAGATTATCCTCATTCTTTTTTATTTTTCCTCTTCTCTTGTGATACAGAACATATCATAAAGGTCCAGGTAATTTTCTTCTGTTTACTCAAGATTTTGTTAATCTCCTTTGTTGTCATTTATGTGTTGTGACAGACAGCTTTTACAACTTGACCCTGACAGCCAGGCTTAGCAAGTTGCCTGATATTGCACGGCTGGAGGGGCCACTTCTAACCCTGTGTCCCATGGCCTAGTGCTAATAGCTATTTCAACATAGACTGGGAAATGGAGGACAGAGCAAAGGTAAGTACTGGTCCTCAGTCCCATCTACCTGTTATATTGATGTAGACAGGTTAAGAATACACCATAATCAACTTGGGTCCTACTGGTCTAGATGCTGACTGAAAGGCAAGTCTAATAGAGGAGCAGGTTACAGATCCTCTGTCTGTTCCATGACTCTATGGGTAGACTGACCCTAGGCCCAAGGCCAGCTAGAGGTGAAGGTGACAGATACGAAGTGCTTTCCAACTCTAGGGCAACTTAGCCTCATTTTTAGATGCTGTTGTTGAAAATATGTATAGACAGGTCCAAAAAAAATTATTCCTGATCCTTCTACTCCCTCCACAATCATTCTTTTTCAAAAATTGAAATCAAGGCAAACTCCTTCATAAAACCACTTCTTTGGCTCATAATATACAAGTCATCCAGGAAAAAATTTTCGTAAAGGTTCCCAAGTCTTTATAATTTGAAAAATAAACAAATCTTCATTACACAAAATCTTCTTTTATAGGAACCCTACAAACCCCTAACTTTGGGTGGTAGTAACAATTAGACAGACTTCAAGTTTATTTTGCCAAATTACCAATGTTTACTATAAAACATATAATGGTACAATTTATTTAAAATATCCACTAAAGTTAATGATAGAGGTTGCCTGGGGCTGGGAAGAGGGGAAATGGAGAGTTATTGCTTAATCATTACAGAGTTTCTGTTTGAGGTAATAAAAAAGTTTTGGAAATAGATAGTGGTGATGGTTATACAACATTGTGAATATAATGAATGCCACTGAACCACATAATTAAAAATAATTGAAATGATAAATTTTAAATGTTCTGTATATTTTACCACAATAAAAAATATAGGCCGGGCGCGGTGGCTCACGCCTGTAATTCTAGCTCTCTGGGAGGCCGAGGCGGGCGGATTGTTTGAGCTCAGGAGTTCGAAACCAGCCTGAGCAAGAGCGAGACCCCGTCTCTACTAAA